TCATACATAAGGCACACGGGATTATAAGGGGCTCTGTCGACTTTCAGAAAAATCAAAGGATTGATTTTAAGTGTGCCGTATTTTCGGCCCGCTAGCATGCTCTACCAAAAATAGTGCTTTGCTGTGTATCTGACGGACGAAAGCTAAACCAGTTCCACACCACTGAAGCATTTTAACAAACCAGTTCTGGTTCATCCGTTTCATTCAACGATCAGCTTTCGCTTTTCTCATTCTGCGTCGCCGCCATGCTTTTTCCGCCATGTGCATACGAAAACAAAGGCACTGCGCATGCGCGTTTTACCCATATTCTATTGCGATATTTCATTTTCTTATTGTTGCCCAACATTATGCCGGGATTACCGTGAACGGTATGATATGGCCCAGCCCTACCACCATGTCCCAGTAGGCTATTACAGCATGAAAATTACTGCTAGCTTAATGGGAAAAAAAGAACTTGGATCAGCATATCATTATATTTTTCACTAACCAGAAAAAAAAGGAAACATTTCCTTCAACCCACTCCCGATTTTTTAAAAAAAGGAAAAAAAGTGATGATATGAAGGTTGTATGCTTGCACTATCTCTTCAGAGAGAAAGCTGAAGTAATTTAATAGAGATTGTCAGGAAATAAATAGTATAATTAACATAAAACATAATGATGTGATTTGAAAATAAAAACACAGCTTTTAAGCGATAAAATAAATTCCAATCTTTGACTTTTGATTCAGAACACAAGAACAATTTTTACTCATTTTACTTTCAGCACCTTGACTAATCTTAATCACACAGTCAGTAAGTTGAGGAAAGAGGAAATTGGAATCCAGAATAAAAAGTTTTACCTAATAATGCTAAATCACCTGCAGCTTTAAAATGTAGGAGAAGGCTGGAGAGCTTCTGCTATGGTTATCAGTGAGATAGTAATGCAGAAAAGCTTCTGGGGATGGGGATACTACAGCATTAAGGCACACACAGGATGGTTGTCACAGTATTACTTATGGAGGTTAGTTGTATGATGGTGAATTCAGCCACAGCTGCCACTTTAGATAACTAATAATGCCAGCACTACACAGACCATTAGCCCCCAACTCTCTTTCTCTCTTTGGTTCTTTTTCTCACTGTGAACCTCACAATCCTCCCTCCTTCTCTCTATCCGTCCCCAGGGTACGTCATGTCAGAAATGTGTACTTTGTCCTTTATGGTTGGTTAGAGGGCACATCAGAGTTTCTAGTATTTTCTACACCCTTTCTCTCTCTATCCTTCCTTTTCCTTAAGAACACAACCACCCAGTATTTTCTGAAGGCCACAATCGCACAGAAACAAACACACAAGCTGTCAGTTCATGGCCTGTAACCTGCCTTATCAGGGGAAATCAGGGGAGGCTGCGGTTCAACTGAGGGCTTATATACTTCTTGCTCTCTTTGTCTCATCTGTCTGTCTTTGGGACTCTTTCTGCTCGCCATAAAAATCATCGACATCGGCCTTGGGAGCATTTAATAAGTATGACATCAGTCTTATGAGGATTATAGGCACTTTATTAAATGTGCTGTACGTTGTCAGGCCACACTGGGGCCAGATCAGATGATGAAGAGATCAGATGTGTTTTTGATACTGTCAAAATATGCAAATAAACGCAGCAATAAAAGGGGCATCGTTCTCCTACCATCAGAATCTACTTCAGGCTTTTCAGTGTGTTATTTCAGTCTGTGTTTATCCAGGACAATCCATCTTTGAACCCCCTCATATCTCGTTACAAATTGTCCCCTTGAGCTGAACTTTCACTTTCTTTCGTGGATTTTTCTTGCTCTGCTGCTTTCACACATACACGTACACAAAGTGCATCCTTTTAGCAGCACCCTTTTAGTACAAATTACCTCAATAAACCAGATGTCTAGCTTCCTATCTGTCAAACTGTTTTCTCTTGGCTTAGGGCAGTGTGGCTATTGATGACTACATATAAAAGATTCATTGCTCTCCTCT